TCGATTGTTGAGAATCAGTCTTGGGTTGATATTTCAAAGATATTCTGCAAGAAAGCAGTTAGACACTCCGTTGAGTGTTTTGTTCAGTACACAGAATTATATTCCGTATACTAGTTTTCCTTGTCTTCTATATGACTCTTTTCACGATGGAGAAATCGGTCTGTAACTCTGCAACAGGCATTTCTCAGGATAGCATAGGAAAGTCTCGAGTCCATCATCGCTTATTTTCAATGATTGTTTGTATTGTTGTGCTTTTAGATCAATTCTCTATTGATACGAGTATGTCTTTTGAAATATTACGGATAGAGGGCTTTAGATAACGAAAGCTGAATAAACTTGTATTTTGAAAGCAAGGGAACAGTTTTTAGTTCAAAATATACTCAACTTGTTGGGAACCATGAAATAAAGCAAGCAAAAGAACACTGCTGAAAATCATGGTTGTGTCCACCTGGTAAAATGTTTTGACGATAGCGACTGTAGCTACTAGTCCGTTTTGAGAAACGCCTTTGTTTTTATGAATTACTGGGTTTACCAAAAGTTAAGTTTTGTCTAAAGAATATGTAAGTCGTAAGAGTGATAAAGTTGAAACAAGTATTGCTGCTGTTTCTGAAAGGCATCTATTGCAAATCGTCTTTGGTCCTTATATAGTTGAAGAGGAGGGTAACATTAGTAGTACGGTGTGAATGGGAAACAATGCGACTTGTGTGAAACAGTATTTGCCTTTTCAAGAGTGCTGCTGATCTGTTTTTTTCCCAACACACTGAAGATCATGCTGTTGAAAGTAGTGGTAGTTGTAGCTGTCAAAAAGTGAAAAGGAGACTTCACATTTTGTACAAACAGCTTGCGTTTGGATAGTATACAAAGTAGCTCTGAAAGAAACTCATGAAGGATTGGTTGAACTTCTACAATGTTACACAAGTGTACACATTGATGTCATCGTGTCCGACTAGAGTTTTTGGTTTGACTCTGAAGATAAAGTCCAACTTTTGGTAAATAATTCCTAGAAAGCATACGCAGACGATCAAAGTGGTTTGCAAATACATTGACACGAACCTAAAACATTATTCGACTGTCGCAGCAAAATCAAACCGTTCGTTACTACTTGAAATTCAACCAGAACAGCAACAACAACAAATATGAGCCCAAGCCTAGTACAGTATGGCATAGTCATCAATTCTACAAAGAGAATGATTCCTGCTTCTATCTTTTACTGTTTTCTTCGTTGTTGGCATGAGCGGAAAAGTGTCATTGTTTTAGTTACTTGGAATTGTAAACAACAACAACAACAACAATTGAAAGTTATACTGTATTACTGAGTGGTACATGGAATATTAATTATAGTTTTCGTCATAAAAGTACGAATTTGACCTATTTTTTACCATAAAGGAAAATTGTATTGTCGAGTTTACAAAATAAAAAAGCATTATTCGCACACTTACGACTATTCCTGTATCTTACTATCAGTAGAACTACATACGGTTCTGATTTTGAACAACAAATAGGGTGAGTTACTTTACTGGTCGATTTTCGATTTTGCTTGTACCTGTTTGAGAAAAATCTTTATCTTTTGACTCTTACAACGAACTTATTTGTTATCTCATGATAGTATGATGAAGCAACTAGTCGTCATTTCTTTTCCGAAAACGTCGACGTACAACCTTTCAGAAGCTTTTTTCATTGGAAATCTCGATCACATAGAATCTCTTTGTCCCCTGATAGTTGCGTTGCATTTGTAGGGATGGGTAACTCCAAGTGATCAATTCGAGACAATTTCGTCAGTTGAATCAAGTAATCTTTGACAAGTGAACTTGCAGTATCATGAAAGTGTACAACATACTGTTTTCTGTGATCTAGAATCTACTACTGATCTATCTGAACATATTGTAATGCTCTCATGTTGAAACCATCTTATGATTATTTGTGCTCTAGAACATTTCCATCTTACTTCTTCAACCCTAAGACCAGGTTCATATGGAGTAGTCATCTAGTCGATAAGGATAAGATAATATCTCTATCTCGTTCTTTCTCTTCTTTATCGGCATAATTGTAAAATGGTGAAAATCTTGTTCTTTAGAGTTGTAATATGTTCTTACAAGAAAAGAGATGAATATGATAAAAAGTAGTATTCAAAGACTGCGAGATAATGTAAATTCAAAGAAAGAATCAACTAGATTGCTGTCAAAGTTCTGTACAAACGATCTGCTGGAAATAGAAATTGAACTTGTCCTAGTACGACCTATTGGTTGTTTTCCCTTATTATTATGAATTGCTATAAAGGACAGATTTATGTTTTACGTTGTATATACTTTTCGATTGAATAATATAGAAAGGTTAGTTGAAAGAAATTCAAGGAAAAGAAGTAAATGAATGCTTTTCTGGCTTCACGGGGTTAGAATATCAGACCCATGATTTACAGATTTTGAGGTTGATCCTCACAAAAAGCAAGCAAAATCAACTCTGTGATTTTTACACAAGTAGCAGCAAAACACAAACTAATAGTCATGTTCTAATTTCAGGATCCTTTCGTATATCCTTTGATGTTTGAACTTTTCGCAACCTTTGGTGGTTTTCTTCCACCTCTTTATCTTGAACTATTACCACAATTGATTCAAGTGATAAATGACAATGTATTTATGCCGTATCAATACCTTGTTTCTGTTGATGAGTTGAATTTGAATCTAATTTCAGAGTGATACCCGAAACAATTCAGGTTACAGCTGTATTGAAGGAAGTAATAATCACTTGCTTTAGAGTACTCTGAATCTTACCACTTCTAGTTAAATCTCAACGGGATATGGCCTAATTATTCTAGTAGATACGTAAGAAAAGGTCTATTTGATTTCTTCCTCCTCAACGTATCTAGAAACTGGTTACTGGTTTATATTACTTGAATTGCATACTGAATTCAATGATTCACTGTTCATTGGAAAGAAAGTAAGATATTTCTTGATACTGCTCATTTAAAATGACTTTTTGTGCAAGAGTTAGTCATTTGTTGATTACTAGTCGATTATTTCATCAAGAAGAAATTCTGTTTCATAAGTGAATGTCGTCTATGGTTGATTCAACTTTTGAATTCTTAGAGATTATACTGAATTTATAGAATGAATTAGTCCGTATCCCGAGAAAAACGATTTGCCATATAGTATTAATGGTAGTCCTAATACTAGGAATACAGAGGACTAGGGAGATGAAGACTTGGTTTGAAAAAAACTTGCTAGTGTTTGACTGTCCAATTATTCCTCCGCAATATTGGATAAGCTTTCGTTGATCATTTCATCCTAGATAGTTTTCATGAATCCACTCAAGCGATGAATTGTAATGTATCTTTGCAGTGCCACGAATATAATACTACCAGTTTATATATTTTGATATTAACTAGTTGTTTGTTTAGATATAAGTACATTAACCTGTACTTGATTCAATTGATTACTACTTGTTTTGAAGCGCTTTTAGTTATACTATTTCGTTCCAACCAAGCATCACTGGGTACGCTGTAGTCACTTCGCAGACAAGAATCTAATATGAGATTTCAATCTTTTTTCAAGTATTCGCATCTAAATGCGTTGATTGTTAGAAACGTTTAAAGTTGGCTATTGAAATATAGCCTTAGTAATGAATGGAGTCAATGTGTTAGGCAAGATAACGGCACAAGTCGATGCACAAAAAGTTGAATCAACGTTTCCATTCAAAATCAATTGTTTGATAGTAAGACTAATATACGTTGTTATTTTTTAGGGGTATCTAAGAGAGAGTTGTTTGAATTGTCATTATGTGCAAAATGCTTTATCCAATAGAGTTTCTGTTAGATAGTGTTTGTATAAGATGGCTTCTTTAAGGTAGAATTGATACTTTATTGACTACTAGTTGTCGAGTTGATAAAGACTTTGTACCCTTGCACTTGAAATCTTGCTGTTTTATGTACGGAGTCTTTATATCCGAAGCAGTGTTTTATGTGGTCTTTAGGTACCCTATATGCTTGATTCAACGTCGAATTGGCCAAGATTATCTTGAAATGACTAAAATAATTTAGTCCCTACTCTAAAAGGATGATTTACAGACTATTATTTGGATTACTTAAAATCAAGTCGAAGATCAATTCATGTGAGAATCACTGGGTAAGAATCCGAATTGCAACAAAGCATCAATTTTCCCTTGATATCTGTATGCTGTGTGCACTATTAGGGTAAGCCGTTGTCCACAAATCAATTTTGGTACATTTGTGGATTGACTTCCATATTGAATGACAATGTATTTCTAGAATATTGAGAACATGTTACTATGGATGGGCATAAATCAATCAGCATCCACTATTCTTATATCTGTACGGAATTCAATTGAACTTTGTTTGAATCCATTGATTCCTATGAGTATTGGTGAGAACGTTCTCGCTTTACTGCCTTTGCACCAAGCTCAACTTGCGTCATAGAATCATTATTTTTTTTGATAAAGATACTGTGTTAAAAGTCTATTGCTTGTTTCTATTGACTGGTCGGAGAGTAGTCATCATATTTTTATCTTATCTTTTCAAGAAAGTTGTAATAATTACTGAACACCAAAAACTGAACTTTTATTGTAAAAAAGTATGCCAGCGATAAACTATACTATTTATAGACTACAGAATCACCTGACTCAGAAGAAGATTCAACTAGATTGTAGACGATTGGTCACAAAGGAGCTGCGAAAAGAAGCAACGTAACCTTCTGATACAAGCTATTGAATCTTTTTTTTCATGTTTATATGTTGTGTAGTACAAGATGAAGAAAAAGATTCCTTTCATTTCAACTTTTATACTCTCGTTGAACAAAAAAATACAACAATTTGCTTTGAAAGAAAATGTATGATGAAAGATATAAAGTGAAAAAAGAAAGAAATGGCTCTCTTGTTCAATAGACTACAGAGATAGTGTAATGAGCCAAAAGTCTTGAATTTGATTCTCATTATAAACATCAACGATACTCTGGTCGTCATTAGTAGAAAAAGTATTCACTACTAGTATCTCATACTGGTGATAGTAGAGCGTTTATGGCATTTTGTTTCGTTTACCCATTCTACTGATATGCATGACCTGTATTTGAACACCATAAAGTAAGAAATAGGCTGTTGAAACAAAATGGTTAGTGTAAGTTTATTTCATGACATCCCTATAATTTTACAAATTGCCCAATGCTTCAAAGACCTGAATACTTTAGGAAATCTTTGTCTTTTTCACACTCTCCTTATTCTTCTTCTTGCTATTCTTTTTTTTATCAAAAATGAATATCATACAATTCTCACTGATAAAAGACAATCAAATTTCTATTCAAAAAGGCAAAGTGTAGAATAAAGCAAGGAATATACAATAGTACTTGCAGAATCGTTATTTGTATCTCTGTAGATATTATTCTCTATATAGCTGTAACTTTCTTTACTAGTTTGGAAAGTTTATACAACAAGATTTATAGGAAGAACAATATCACGTTTACGATTCAACTCGATATCGATACTATTATTGCATGAAGGAGAATATCACTTCTCATCATACTCTACGAATAGTTTTTGGATTCGACCTAATCAATCAATCTTTGTCGATCAACAACTTGACCGGAAAAAAGTTGCTTGTATTTATTTCCATTGCAATAATTATTGGGGCTTTGGTATAAACTGGCAGAAATGATTATAAAAGCAGAATTTACTATCTGATTTGCACATTTGACGACAACAATAACAGCAACTCTGAGAAGAGATAGGACAACACTTCCCACTACAGCATTATTCTCGAAGAGTCATAAACATAGTATTTTATTCATAGTTCCTCATTTAATTAGAATTATGGTTGCTGTTTTACGACCACTCGCTTTCGCTATATTAAAAACTCAATACATTCCTAAATTGTGGAACGGATATATTTTTCTATCTAATCGACAAGACCGGAGACAATAGGGATATGAGCTAGTGTCCAGGAATCAGTTTAAATTCAACTGATTTTAAAAGATCATAGTTTCGGCTATGTTGAACCGGGTTTAAACTGAATTGAGTGGAGAAATAAGCGATTGTGCATAATAGGGCAATCAAGTATCAAGAAAGAGAATAAGCCAAGTGCTTTGCTTGATAGAATCAGATCAGTGTCGTCGAATAAAGAGCAATTCATTGTTTCTTTAAGCACCTTTCATTCTCTCGTTCACGGAGCCTTACCTATAGAATTGCACGAGTTCGTCATAACTAGAATATTATTGGTTTCTGTCATATCATTCATGCCTAAAGACAAGCTCGATTTTAAGTTGCAGAAAGAGGGACTGTAATCTATCCTG